AGAGAGAGAGAGAGAGAGAGAGAGAGAGAGAGAGAGAGAGAGAGAGAAAAAGAGAGAATGTATGTGTGTACGTATGTGCGTGTGTGTGAGAGAAAGAGAGATATAGAGAATGGTATATAGATACAGATAGAGCAACACACTCAAATAGACGAAGGCCGGTCAAAGAGAGAGAGAGATAGAGACCGTAGATATTGTACGTCCACGTAGCAGAGTGCCGCACATGTACGCTGGAGGAGCAAAGCGGTGGGCAAAGCACATACCCTTCTAAGCACAAGCCTAACACACCCGTGGAAGCCCCTTCGGCCGATGAGCGCTGGCGCCCCTTGGCCCCTCGTTCTGCGCTGTACTACTACCCTCCCGCCGCCCTGCCCTCACCGTCCAGAAAGGTCTCTGCCGCCCAGTCCCTCACCCCCTCTCTTCCCCTGCGCCGCCGGATGCCCGACAGCGGCCCCTTACGCCCCTTTGAATCCTCTCACCCCCTCTCCCGCTTTCCCCCCCGAGTTACTCGTCCAGCGGCCCCCTCGATGTTCTGACGGTGACAGACCCTACCTTACCGCCGCCGCCGCCGCTGCCGCCGCCACCGCACCGAACCGAGTGGGGAGGGTCGAGGGTCGAGGGGGAGCCGAGGGCGCCGGGACAAGAGAAGCAGAAACGAGAGGGAGCGGAAGGGGGACGGAGATAGAGATAGAGATAGAGAGAGAGAGACAGAGAGAGAGGGAGGGAGTGAGAGAGAGAGAGAGAGAGATGGCCATGGTGAGGAAAGAGGGGACGAGGAACCGAGGGGGGTTGACGCGCTCGAAGAGGGCCGCTGGGGAGTGAGAGAGCGGTGCGGGTCGTCGGAGGACTGGGATGAGGGGTTGCGCGGGAGAGCGAGAGAACCGACGGTAGGTGGGAGGGAGGCTGAGTTGACGGCGAGTGAGAGAGAGTGGGGTATGGGTGAAGCGTTGGTAGCGGTATGAGGCTCTCTACCGTGGAGCTGGGGTGAGGACACCGAGGAGGGGAGCATGTGGAGGCGGCGGTGCTGCGGTGCGAGAAGGGGAGGAGGTCGTCGTCGTCGCGTCGCCAGTTGCTAGTTTGCCGTGAGCGCTCATGACGCGAGGACGTTCTGTTAAGCGGAGTAGCGAGCTCGGAGCTTTCCCATCTCTCGCTGTGAACGACACAGGAAACGAGCGTGGCAGGCAGGCAACGATCGCGTGAACACTGGTCATTTTTCCGACGATCTCTCGGGAAATAAGCAGAGGCTGTGGCCATACTTAGTGTGAAACTCCTCGAACTAGGTTTTTTTTCACGATCGACAGACGAGTCCTCCTAACTTCCGAAAACGTGGACTATCCGTTGCGAACTTGAATCCCGTGTTCCTGAACGGAAAAAAAATTAGTGCGCAAGAGACGATTCGTCGATCGGAGTTGGAAGATCAATCGACGTCCGTTCGATCGGAATGCTCCGGAGTTCAGACGAACCAGCTGATTGTGAAACCGTCTTACCGGTTTGATATACTTCGTGGAGATTTCCTTGTGCACGTTTATCGTGTCGTGACGTGAACGCAGAAGAGGGAGAGAGGCGGTGATAAAGACAGCTGAGAAGACACGCGTGAGGGAGGGTCAGTGAAAAAAAAAAAAAAAACACGGGATAACGTGGAAGAAAAGGAGAAACGAACTTGTTTCGGAGAGTGCACGGATATTCCTTCCGGTCATTCCGGTTGCGCGCGGCGCCTATTTTAATCTCTCGCGCGGCGCCGACACCTGCTACCGCAACAACCAACTGCGCGGGAGGTTTTGTCGCGGAACTTTCGTGGCGCCGCCGGTGTACCGGTGCGGTGTGCGCGGGGTGAAAGCTTAAAGTTCACGAGCGCAAGGTGGGACGGAGTGCGCGGACGCGCGCGCGCGCGCGACATAAAGGAAGATAGAGAGAGGGACAGAAAACGAAACACGAAACTCGGCTTCGAGAAAGTTTACTCGCGACGTGCCGGTCGCTCCGGAAAGAACACCTCATTTCCTACGCGCTCGCTCCGGCGTGCCGGAGGAAGCTGTTAAGCGGAAGCGAAGAAAGGAGACAGAAGAGGAAAACGAAGAGGGAACGGGCGGGGAACGAGAGAGAGAAAAAGAGAAGGAGAGCACACTCATCACCGCGTGCGCTCGTCTATCGTTGTCAACCCCCTGCGCCGCTTTCCCCCTGCCTTTGTGTTCCTCGTGAACGTCGCCGTGCCTTTGGGTGGACGCTTATGGCTCGCCAGTAGGAGGGAAAAACAGACGGAAGAGCGAAGGACAGAGAGACAGGAGGAGACAGGAGGACAGAGGCGGACAGTCGGATAGAGACCGGCGAGGCAGATATTTCCCGCTCCGAGAAGGGGGGCAGAGAGGGCACCCCGGAGAACTGAATATGTCCGCCAAGCGAAAGGCCACTGCCATCATGCAGCACCACAAGGTGAGTCCGTACACGTACTCATGCATACGACGCGCGTACACATGTATATCGCGCACGCTGATATCGCCACGTGATATATCGGTACTCGTTCACGATGTCGCGTTTCGTCCGTGAACGGTGACGAACGAGGCAGTCCCATGAGTTTTCCAAGCTCGGAAAATGCTTCTTTCGGTATAGGATGGGTATAGAAAAGAACTTTGGACCGCCCGTAATGCGGCAGAGGTTTAAGGTTGAAGTCCCCTGCAAATACAATAAAAAGAGAGTGAAAGAGGCGCTCGCAGGTAAGAGGTAAAAATTCGGTTTCACGTTAACCTTGACGACATCCCGACTTATTTTACGGACGCATTCCCAACTCTTTCTCCCGTCCTCTCCCGCGGAATCTCCCGCTCAACGTGACGATAAATTTTTCCAGCGAAAGCTCGAAAAGCTCGCCGGAACACGGCGCGCTCCGTTAACGTAACTCGTTACTGCGCGCGCGGAACCTAATTTTTTTTCGGCGCGCGGGAAGATAAACTGCGAAAAAGTTTTAATTGAAAGAGTTGTGTAAATCCAGCGCAGCGGCGGCGGTGCCGACGACATGATGAGGTGCGGGCGAAGTGCGCCTCTAGTTCGAAAAATTGTTCTCGTGCCGTTCGTGCTTCGCGCAGACCTCGGCATCACGCGCGCCAAATTACTCGCAATGTGCCGCGGACGTCGGTTGCTTCTCCTGGACTTTCATACTAGCCCGCTTGCCTAATTATACTTGCGCAACAATGCAAACGGGTCCTTGCGGGTATTCAAGAAAAAACAAAATAATTTTCTGGTTGTAACACGGCAGTTCGATTGTCAATATAATTCTTAACGCGAGGATATTTCAACTACCGATCTGTTATGTTCGCTTGCATTCTACAATTAACCTAATTACGGTTATAACTATTGAAAATATCGAATTCGGAGACCTTATTTCTCGCAGATCCGTCCAAGAATCTGTTATTTATTAATTAAAAGGCATTTTGAGTTTTATTACATTAATAGAAACAAATAAAAACGGCTTAATATAAGATTTATTAGACCGCAAGCACTAAATTCTTCATCTAATTTATGAATTTTTCGAGATCTTGTTGATATTATTCGCTTTCATTATTCTGAAATAAAGTAATTATGTACATGTCGATAATGCCGTCACACGTTTGACACACGCTTGAAGAGGTCAGCGATCGCCTCTTTAAGTTCGCACTAGTGTATCATAAGTAAATAATTTCCACTTCTTCGGAATCATTACACGAGTATCGACGGACGATCATCCGTGAACCTCGATGACACACGTCCGGCGCGAATCGCGCAATTTCGCTCGTCAATGACGAACTCGGTCGGATCGCACTTATCTCCGTGCATTTTATTTTTTTCTCGTCGCAGAAACCGCGCCAGATTAGACCAACGTATCTATGTGAAAGATAATCCCCGCGGACGGCGCACAGGCACTCTCTCGATTCACGCACGTGCTCGCCCATTCGCGTCGTTGTCTTCAATTAACAGCTGGATGCGTTTTTCGAGCTTCACCTTACCAAAAAATCATAAACGCGATTTACACTGACATCTCTTTTCCAGCAGTACAGTTCTACAAATGTATGTAAAATTTAAAAAATATTCTGACAATTTTAAACCATAAAATCGCGCGCGCATGTTTTGTTATGTACTTGGCGCGAGACACTACCGTGTCTCTTGATAATACAATAATAACAGATCCAGCGGTAAGATCGAGAAAGGAGTCAACAAAATAGATTTTTTTATATCAATTTTATGCAGTGCTATCTCTCGTAAATATGCAGTTTATCGCCGTAAGTTTAATATACACGCAAGAGAGAGAAAAACCGCAATTAAATTAAATTTGAAAAAAAAGCAAAGCGGGCAATAATACAAAAGTATCGAAGTGTTAAAAAAATCCATAACACGCGTGTCATCCTTCCTCGCCGTTAATCTTCGTTCATATCGCGAGCGCGATTAAAAACTGCGCGTTTATCGGTCGATAAAAGTAAAATTGGCGCAAAAAGGGAGACCCGGAGCGTTCGTCACTGAAATGAATTACAACGGTAGCGCATCTCTTAACAATTTTTCGAATATCCGTCTATGCGATTTTCAGAGTGATAATACAACAGCCGTCGAAACGCGGTTTCCGCGAGAAGCAAGCCCGATAAAAATGCGAACGCGTATCGAATATGTCTTGTTAATTTATCGATCGACGTGTTCGGCGCGGTGTAAATTGCTCCCAATAATGTCGTCCGAATTATATTCCCTTTCACGTCGCTACTGATGCCTCTGTTTCCATTTTCATCGCGTATTTATGTTAAATGTGTGATGCTGTCCAATTTTCACCTCATATTTACGCTAAATGCCACTTTCGTGTCCGGCGGATAAAGAAAGTCATCCCTTTGTGATGTCGGAATTGTGCCCGACATCGATAATTTTTTAATCAATGAGCGAACGCATTATAAAGTGAAACGTCGGACGAGACATATTTGCGCGCGTTATATAACTTTATTTCCTGAAAGTCGCAACCTTCTAGGATTCTCGTACTATCAAATGCCAAACAGGTCCAACAGGTTGCATTCTTCATATTACACTAATAATGTTTATAGACCAAAGTTAGCGTGAAATGTGGAATGTGAATATTTGAATGCGCATAGAGAATACGGAGGGAGAGAGAGAGAGAGAGAGAGAAAGAGAGAAAGAAAGAGAGAACTTTAGTATCGTGCACCCCATGACGTGTCGAAGAAAGCACAATACGGGAAATGCGTGACGAATTTGCGTCCTTCGGAATTACGAAGAATAGACGTTGTCCTTCTCGCTGCTTGAGGCGCGTTTGTTGTCTCGTTAAACCTCAACGGTGAATTACGAGAGGAGGAGGTGGGCGTGAAGGAGCCGAGGCGCATGCAGAAAAATAGTATACAACTAACGGTATTATGCCGGGGAATGAAAGCAAAGTGTAAATACTAACTACGCTACCACACGGATGAGCTAGATCGATCGGATCAGGAATCGAACCGCGAAAGTCGAGTCGAAGTTGAGGCAGGTTCGGGACGTCTGCGCGCGTCCTTCTTCTCTTATCTCCCTCTCTCCCTCTCTCTATCTTTCTCTCTGTTTCATCCGTTTCGTCCTGCTCGTCTCTCTTCGTCTTTCCCCCTTCTTCCTTCATCACGGCTGTCTCGCTTTATCGAGATCTCCGTCTATCTCACGGCTCCGTTCTCTCTTTCTCTCCGACTTCTCTTGCGCCTCTCGTTCTCTCCGTCGCGTACCTACGTGGCTCTCGCTCTTTCGTGGTCCAACAGGTTATATTTTTCCGCAGCGGCATCTCTTCCTGCCGTTTCTCTACCTACCCTCTCGTCGTTCTCCCTTTTTCTCTCCCTTCTTTCGGTTTCTATTTTCTTTAGGCCGGTACGCAGGCCGTTCTTCTTTCTGTCGTGGCACACGTTTCCGTTTCGTCGACGACAACGGCGGCATCTTATCGTCACGTTCGCATAACGATCAAATTGCATTCTCTCCGAAATCGATCTGTTTGATGAATTTAACATTCTAACTCACGTTGGGCATTTTTTTTTTACTTAAGCGTGACAAAAAATGGATTTTATAATCGTGCAAATTACTTCCAATATCAAGATACACGAAATATAATAATGTACGTATAATCGGAAGTTATGTGCGATATTAACATGCGAAAGGGAACATGATGAAGGGAACATCGTATCTATAAATCGTGGATTTTCATACTTTCGAAAATGTGTGCTCAGTGACGAAGTCGGATAGAGTTGATTAATAGTCGCACTTTCCGCGAATAATCTTCGGGAAATTCGTAATAACCCCATGGCTTACGCTCCCTAAGTCAGCGAAGGAGCTTCTGTAAGCGCGGATAATTAACGCCGCAATTAAAGCTCGCATTGTTTGTATTTATTTTTCATTTTATTAAATTACGACAAATAATTTAAGCAGCATAGGACCGTTCGCACACACACACACACACTCGCATGCGAGCAAACACGACTTACTGAGCAAAAGTAAATATTGTATCGCAAAAGTGCCGGTGGGGACGGGGGCATTAATTCGTTAAAAGCATTCCGGCGACAAGTATTTTTGCTTTTTTCTTTTTTTAATCAGTATAAGTGCATCCTTCGTCCCTTGCGCGCTAATCTAGCTCGACCATTTCCATGTTTCGCGGCCGCGGAACTGCACGAAACGCCACACGAGCCACCGCAATAATCATGTTTATAATTCGCGTCGAATAGTGGCTATTCAATTAAACGCTTCTTGGACCCGGCGATGTATATTTATCGGGCGAAATCAGAGATCACCCAATCGTCATTATTCATGTGTCGTATCGGCGCTGCGCTTGTCATACGTGACGTTTGAATGTTGATCAATATGCTTTTTTTTTATAGCGGAACAGCTGAAAAATTGGCCGTCGAAATAACCGATAATATATTTACGCATCTCTACAGACTGGCAATAAATAAACACTTTTATTATCCTTCACATAAATAAAAAAAGGGAGAACAAATATTGCGATTGTAATTATTAGTCTTCCGCGCGATATCCAAAATCAGGGAATTCGTAACTTTGCAAAATGAGTTGCCGCCTATTCTTTTTAGTTAAATCCCTTTTCACAAGTCTGCGAGAATATATACCTATGACGTATGATATTATGCGATTAGATATGTATGTCAGGTAGACGATCATCCCTGAATTCATTCGCGGGAGAAGGCACGTGGAATCTTGGGAGCTAGTGCTAATGAGGCGTGCGATCTCTCTCTTAAGGAACTAAATTACGGGATGTAGCCAGTAAAGGCCCGAAGGCCCGACGAACGTAAGGTGCTTTCATGCATAACGGTAATCTCGTCGATCGAAGAGGACCCTCAGACGATCAATATGCTTATGCTCAATACGCTGACTATTCTATTTGTGTAACATATATGTCTCTCTCTCTCTCTCTCTCTCTCTCTCTCTCTCTCTCTCTCTCTTTCGCCATTTCA